AACCACTAAATTTTAAATCAGATTCAATGACCAACCTGACACTGTGAAGGACATATGAATTTTTGTAATCTCTCTGGATGAGCTGTTAAGTATTTATAGAAACATTTTCACCCTGTCACAGGTTAAACTAAGTATTGTGTCTAATTCTCTCTGGAGAAATGTGTTGGAGAAATTGGTAAGATAAATCTGTCATCATAAATAGTAATAAATAACTACTCTGTCATAGTTGCTTACTTAGCAAAGTTATTTGATTATTAATGGTTTTTACAGGTATGCCTACATGCTAAAAATCCATGCTATCTCAAAACTAAATAAAGGATTCCCCAGTCCTTATCACAAGGCAAAATTTGGATTAAAAGACAACTATATACGGAATAACCAAAACCTTTCCTTTAATACCAGAGTCTGTTCCAAAAGAAATGCGAATAGAGGGTGCTGAACCCCACATCACCCTGGAGCACACGATTAACCTTCAGCGACCACAATGAGATTAGATTACACTGGTGTCAAACATGACTTGGGCCACAACTAGGTCCTCCTGTGATGAGCCCAAGAAGGTATGCTTCACTACAGCATGACTTCCTAGGAGACAGCTAGCTTCAGTGTGAGACTGAAGGAGCTCCAAAATCCATCACTGCACTGTTCAGCTGCATTTTATTGGATAATTACATCTGTTATTAAAAATACAACTGAGGGCCTTCATTCTACTTTGATTTTCTGGCTTTCCTTTCCACCACAGGTTTTCATTTTAAAAGAACTTGTTTGGGAGCTGGGATTTTCATCCCATGGAGGTAAGGCCTGGTGAACTCTCCCTTCCTGCTGGAGAACACTTGGCAGAGTCAGGACCTCAATATGGACTGTGGGGTGCAGTGTGTGTTAACTTGGACGTTATCATTTCACAAACCCAACTAGGCTCTGCCTAAGGACCTTCTTTGGAAAACCACATTTATGTGGTGTTGCCTCATGCAGAGGCTCAGCTCTCTACAGCAAAACACAAGCTGAGTGCAGTACTTATCAAAGGCTTTATTCTAATTCACTACAGCTCTTGCTTTTTACACTTGAAATGGAGAGAAGTTTGATTTCCTCCTAGAGAACACTCCTGACTAGCCAGCCCTGCACATCAAGTTTATACCTAAAGTGCTGCTGACATCTGTAGAAGCGTTAGAAGAACTTTCTTCCCAATTGGGATCATGAGTTTGAACTACTGATGCTTTTCTCTTAGAAGAAATGCTTCAGAATATATGTCAAGAGATGAGCTGGAAAGATGAAAGATGAACTAAAAGGACAGGAGATTAAAGGAGTTCAGGAGAGTGTTTATTAGCTTTAGAATATTTTTAGTAAGAACAGCGATATTCTTCCCCCCACCATTTTCTCCAATCCCTATCAGTCTCTTTCTTGTGCTGGCTTCAAATACCATCTTGCCTTTTTCTCACTAACCTCCACTTACTTCTGCAGTCTTCTTAAAATTCAATGGCAATGCAAAACTCTCACTCTGTCCTTTACCTTCAGAATTAATAAGCGAAACCTGAAAGTTTCTTAGCCTTTCAAGGGTAAGACAAGGGTATGCGCCCATGTCTAAACAAAGGGATGGGGAGAGACAACTGAAAAAAAATCTATTCAAAGGAGTCCAGAGCCTCCAGAGCTCTGTTCCCAGCAAAGGTGCTGGGGATCTGGACTTTTGCTCCTAACGTTCCTCTGAAGCTCCTAATCTCCGGCTATGGGGAATCAAGTGTAAGAAGCAGCGGTAAACATGAAAATCTAAAGGAAAATGAGATAGATAGAGGAAAGCATGAGGGACACGCTTCAAATCCTCCTCCACTCAGCCAATAGACAGCTTTCACAAGGACTTTTTCTGACAGGAAGATGGGTACTCTTGAAGGGCAAAGGATAAAGCAGCAACTAGCACAACCACTAGAACAAATTAAATTACACAGAGGATCCTGCCTAAGACTATATTTTCTGCTGCAGCCTGGCCCACATCAGTGATAATTTTTAGTCTCATTTGGTACAGAAAAAAGGCCCATGAGGTCTCTCAGTATATGGGTCCATCTCCTGCATGTGTCTGTCAGTGTGAGTTTATCTGTTACCTGAGATTTCTTACTGGCAGATTTCAGCCAAATTCGATAGTGGGGCTGAGATCAGGAAGATGTTATGTTCCTGTAAGCTTCGTGAAAGTAAGTGGCTGAATATATCAGAAATCCTGTATTAATATTCCTAAAGGAACAGACTCAACTCTTTTTAAACATCAAAGACACGGCAGCTCAGCCTTGAGACAACTCTGTAAGAAAGCAGGCTTCACTGGTGCTATGGCTTATGAAACTACCTGTTAAAATACTGCAATAAGATACAATATTCTGGAAACAGGAAAGGGCAAAACCTGCATCTGCTACTCAAAACAACTTCCTTGATTTCCACTTCCAATTGATTGCATGTCCAAAAGACATACATCCCTACATCTCTCACCATTTGAGGGTGGAAGAATGTTTACTATTTTCACACGAAACCTTGCTTTATGTGAATAAAACTACTGAGCATTTGACCACTGTTTGATGGGTCTGATTTTGTCCCAGAAAAAATTCATGACTTGAGCTCTCCTACAGAGCATAAGCGCCATACTGTAATGCCAAGATAGATGCTATATATTTAAAGCCATAAATATATAATAAACTATTCCTTACTTTTCTTGTCATGCAACTGAACATAATTCGAGGAGCACGTGTACACAGACGTGAACTCACAGCTTTGACCTGAGCGTGGTGATACAGTAGACTGAGAAAAAGACAAACACTGCAAGGGAGTCATTGCAACTCACAGCTCAGGTAAAACTGTAGCTATCTTCAAGCTTGATCTCCAATGGTTCCTGGGCAGTGCAGGCTATGATTCACTTCATGAAACAAAGCTCAGTGTTATACGCCCTCTCCTCTCTGGCACAGCAGTAGTGGCTTTGGCAGCTGTGATGTTAGCAGCATGAGACATCACAGCAGTGCTGAGATACTTATTATCCTCTTGGGTTCTTTTCTTTTATTCGTCATGGATTTCAGCTTGTTGTATAATATACATTTTTCAAGTTAAGCATCAAAACAATGAATACAAATGAGCAAGGAAGTGTTCACTTGCTGAAGGAGGAGAATTACTAAAAGCAACATCATGCAGCATCAAAATGCATTTCTACCATGACACCATTTGTGTTAATGTATTAGAGATATCTACAAAGACAAATTGCAGCTCAGTTCAAAGCAAAGAGCACTCAAATGTCTTTGCAGAACACTGTAGCAGGCTGCTACCAGACATGGTCTCCCTGAAACAACATTTGGATTTTCAGATCTCTTCTGGCATAAAGGCAAACATTCTCCTGATCCCTCTCTTCCACCTGTTGTGTTGGCTCGCTGACTTCCACGTTGATGCCCACGAGCAAGAAGGGGAAAAGGACAGCCTAAACTCAGACCCGACTCTTCTTTTTCCAGTATTAATATGATATCTTGTGTGTAACGTTTGAGGATTTGATCCTGGTAAGACTTCGTACAAATAAAGTCAACTGGCAGTAACACGTTCCAAGAACTTGATTCTCTTGCACCATTTTTACACTGGGATAACCTCAGAAACATCAACAGATCTCCTCTTGCGTTCCACTGCTGAATTAACATACCTCCTTCTTGATGCTCTTGCTGGCTATGAATTGTTAATTTTCTATTTACAAGCTCTAATCCTTTCCTGCGTTAAGACTAATGCTTATCCTTGTGATAAGACATTATACTAAAGTCCCTTCTGGCCATGTTTGCGTGGAAATTAAATAGCACATCTTAAAAGTCGGAAAGAAAGTCTTGCTGTCCTTATTATCCTATCACTATTCTACTCTCATTTTTTTCGCTTTCCTGACTCCTCTCTCAAATTTGTTCTAAAAACCAAATCTCTAAACTGCAGTACCATGGCGAATCCACTGACTGTAGGGAAGTTATGCTGATCTCTTCACTGGCTGAGAACCCAGCTACAAGGTCCCAGCCAGCACTGCTTCAAGCACAGTGCTGACCCACACCGTAGGTCACTGTGCTACCATTATTATCCATTACCATAAATTACTTCTGTGTATCTTCAGCAGCGATGATGCTAATAAAAGCCCAGGTCTATTTTACTTTGATTCTAATCATGCAAGTGACAAAAATGCAGAGCAATGACTCTGTTGGACAGAAAACAATGGTCAGACTGCTGAGGAACATACTGGTAGCTAGCAACAACCTTAGCTTTGCTAAAGGATGATAAATCCCTCAGCTGTATTAAACGCTCTGGCGAGGTCACCACTAGACATTTTTGCAGGCAAGCAGCATACTCTCTTTTGATATTTTTTTCATCAGTAAAAACTTGACTTATACAAATAACAAAGATGCTTCCTTCTTGAAAGGAAGCAAATGAGCCAATCTCTTTTCTCATGCTGAATAGATGCTAGTGTTTGTGTGCATTTAGGGCAAAGCATTATCTAAACTCAGTTTTCACTGCCTGGCTTTGCAGTGTGCAGTTCTTCGAATCTTCTTGGATTAACTAGGTGATCGCTAATCTCTCATCGATGCTAACAGAGGAAGATATAACTGGATCCAGTGACCACAAGCTGAAGTCAGCAAAGTCCAAAACAGATACAAAATTTGCATTTTTAACATAATTAACCAACAGAATCAAGGTGCTGTAACAATCCTTCCCTTGTGCAGTGTTTAGATCCTACACAGCTGTTTTCTGTGGGAGGTGCTTTCCTTGTCACACAAAATAAAGTTAGGGATGGGAATCAACTGTGGAAAAGTTTTGGTCTGTGCTACCCCTCCCAAAATACTCCATTCTTGTTTTAGAAGCTCTCTGCCTATCAACACTCCTCTAAAGAAATAATTCATAACGGTTAGGACTGGAATCGGGTACCATTTAAGCCACCATATTACTGTACAAGCAACCTACTGATCACCTATCTAGATGGGCACCTGAATCCAGAACAAAGAAAATAGCTGGATAGAGTCACTCACCATAATCTGGATCAAGTCAGAGGAACAACCAAAGGCTGAGAACGACCATAGGTTTTTTCTTTCGTGATGTTAGAAGCATCTATTTTCCTTGCGCTTTTCCCAAGAATTTCTCTCTCATTATCTCTGCTTGAAGGTCACGTCTAACAAAATAAGAGCGTCAAGAACTAAGGTAATGATTTTCAATTTCTGTCACAGTACAAGAATGAAAAACCCTGTTCTGTTTCATTAGGGCTCCAGGTGACTTGCCCCCAGAATACTCAGCCTCCATTAAAACTAACACAAAAATACCACGAGATCAGACTGTTAAGGCACAGAATAAAACCCATTCTGACCGGCCTCGACGCAGTAGATTATTTTATACAGTCTCTTTAAACACAACCATCTGCTGCGAGAACACATTCCCATTCAAATTTCTGTGAGACTTAGCATTATATTATCATATAAATTCTCGGCGCCATTCCTTGTGAAAGACGCCCTGCCCTCTCTGCCTCCCCGCTTCATGTAGTTACGATGAATGGTTTCTCTCTCCAAAGGTCCTGGTTAATGGGATTTACATAAGATTGTGCTTTGGCCTCTAATGAAAGGGAGGCAAATACTCTGGCTCATAGCCTCCGACTGTCATTTTCTGGAGACTGGCTTCTGCTTGAGGTCCTAGAGTGCTCCAGTGTGTGCTTCAGACACCAGAGGCAGCACCAATACTGCTGCCAGGAAGAAGTGAAATATGCAATAAAGCCCCTTTGCTTAAATTTCAGTAATAACGTTATCAGAAACAGCCCAAAGATACTACTCAGACGATGAAGATGAAGCTGGGTGCAGCTCAGCCTGGGAGGGAGAAGAGGCTGCGTAACCATGCAAGTGCTCCTGTCACAGGCTGAGAACGTGCGGGCCTGGCGAGAGCCACATAGGGACGCGGTCCTCCCGTTCTCTCCTCTCCCTAGTATAGCTCTGCTCGACTGAAAGTATCCATTTTATTTGCCATTCATAGTAGCCATGCAACACTTTATAGGCATTACAACATTGCATAAAAAAAGCTCAAAATCTTAGAATACACTGATCATCACTGATTATAGTTAAATAAAACTGATATCTACACTAATGACAGTTAAATATGCCTCACAAATAGCTCACCAAATACAATAGTTCAGCACAAAGGCTTATCCCTTCCTTCCAAAAGGACAAAACCAGAAAATCCCTCCTGTACTTTCCATGAGTAACAGTGCCCAGCAGATAAGAGTTCTGCTGGCCCTGGCCACCAACAGCTGAACTCAAAAAGTTAGGCTAAATTTTCCATCTTAAAGTTTTTTTTCCAACGCCTCTGGGCTGAATTCTAGAAATGCTGGAATAGAAAAAGCAGCTGATAAATGAAATCCCAGGAGTGCCTGGTTTTTATACAATGCTCGATTCAGTCTGAAGACCCAAGTGATTCTGGTATGTTCTCAAGAAGCATCTTCAGTTTAGGAGCTGGGCTATGGGAGGCAGGCAGGGAGCAGATGGAAGAAGAAAGCTCCTTCTAAAAAAATACCTAGAAAGTCACCTATCACTAATTACTGACGTTTTGGAAATCATGTCATAATAGTTCTTTACACTTGTCACATACCAGTGTAGTTTTGTTGACTAGATTCCAAAATAGAAAGTTGCACAGAGACAGAGAAAATAAAAACTAAACCAAGAACAAATTTCAGAGAGCATGCAGAGGTAGCAAGACACCTCTGACATTGAACCCAGAGACTCAACACACTGCAGTGGCTATGCTTACAGAGGCACAACGACAAGGCTAACACAGGCAGGCTGAGGGACCACATCAAGGTGCTCCTTGCAAGGAGGCAGGTTATAGCAATGGGATAACAACCAGCGAGCAACTTGTACTTTGAGCATGGCAGCCAGTTAGCTGCAGGGTGATTTGAGAAGAGCAGGACACCCAGCATGGGGAGAGGGGTGTTGGGTCCCTGAAACAGGTGGGAACAGCCAACTCGATTTTACCACAAAACAAGTTCCTGACCATCCCCGTTTGTCCTAGCCCGCTCCAGTTCCGTTGAGTTGTGCTGCTTCAGGGCCGTTGAAACTGGCTTTAATTGCAAAAGCCTCCGTTTCTGGCTTCTTCACCTATTAAAACTCTCAATTCAGCAAATCTGCCATAGAAAGAGCAGGACAGCAGCCCAGAACACTGAACACTGCTGAGGAAACCTGAAAATGTATTTTTTCATATCATTAAAAAGTTCTTAATTATGAAGCACATGGATAGCTCCTTTTTGTCACGTTTTCAAACAAAGGGCAAAAACCATTTACAGCAGCCAAAATGGAGTATTTCAGCTAGCCAGACTAGCTAAACAATACCAAAGAGAACTGGCTCAAAAGGCGTAACTATTTAAAGTAGCAAAAGAAGCAAAACGACACTCAATGAAAGCAGCTTAGCCCTGCTAACTGAAAAATTTTCAGCTCTAGGGACAGTGTGAAAACAGGTAAGCAGCTACTACAGCAGCACTGAGTTCAAAGATGATTAAGTAAAGCTAGTCTTAACACCACCTTCCCTCACTCAAAATCCCCAAACCTAGAGATAGTTGAAACTCAAGACTGAGAAAAGACTTCTGAAGATCAGATTCTTCAGCATCCCTTTGGTCTAGCAGAGTTTCATGGGAATACTGCATTTTATGGACTGATGTCATACGAGAGTCCAATTTTGTTCCTGTTTGCTCCACAACTTTATTTCTCTCATGTATTCCTTTCTCATTTTCTAATTCCAAAAGTCACCACGGTTACCCCAATCTGTACTTTTAACTTCACAAGGCTTACCCATGAAAACGTTTCCCTTATATACAAACTCTCTCTCTACCCACTTATGTGATTTAGCATATATAAAAATATGTTTATTAGCAGAGAGAGGAACTCTCATTATTCACACTGGCTTAACTGTAGGCTTCTGAGGTTCTGCTGTGAGACCCTCATCTTAGTATGAAATTTCATAGTGATACAAAATTCACACAGGTTTGCAATTTCAGCCCAGAAGCAGGTATCACCTATAGGTTTGAGTGATTCTGTCTGGGGTTCTGGTCCATGTGGCTGATGTCCTCAGGATGAGCAGTAGCCCATTGGGGATGTGCTTCACGAATGAGGAAGAACGTTCCCAAGAGCCACAAAATTCCTGACGTTTTCACTTAAAGGTGTTTTTTTTTTTTTTTTTTTTTTTTTTTTTTTTTTTTTTTTTTTTTTTTTTTTAAGCGTCTCAATACACAATGAGGATTTTTCACCTCCTTTGACATTTTTCACAAAAGATTTTATCATGCATCTGGATCATCACCAAAAACAATAGGGAGAAAGCAAGCTTATTCTCCATCTCTATCTGAATAGGAATGTGCCATCCTGCCAAATACCTGTGGACATTTCCTATGGTTTAGTATTTTGTCATTGCACATACGTCCAAGTCTGATAGCATCTGCCTTACAGAGAGAGGCTCTGGTAGCCATCTGCCATTTGGGAAGAGAGAAGGGTGATTTGATACGTATTTTTATTTGAAGGAAAAAAGACAGTGAAATATATGCAGCTGTGTTTTTTGCAGTGAGAGCTGATGGTGAGAGCTGATCAATTTTAACAGGTGGCACTTCTAGAAATGGCAATTCAGCAGGTCAGCTCACAGGCAGTGTAATAATAACAGTATCAACCCAGTGAATCTCTGCAGTTAACTGACAGGTTACCCACAGGAAGTGTGTTATTATTTTAAATAGAGCTAGAGAACGTGGGGAAAACTTGCCCAGCAAGCAAAGTCACTTTTAAAGAACTCATGCATAAGAAATTAACAGAGGAAAAGAAGAGATGGAGAAGGCAGCCAAGATACCAAGGCTCAGATTTTTCAAGGATGGGTTCCCTCTTTGTGAATATTTGCATTTTTATTTTGTATCAATAAGGTTCTTTCTGTATTGCATAGGTCCTGAAGGAGCAGAGAGCGCAGAAATTAAAGCTACCTGTGGTGATTTTAACCTATGCAAATCAGAGTGCTCTTCGCAGCCCTTGTGTGAAAGAGTCACATTTAACATTACAACAGTCTATGGAATCTTTCTTAAGGTTAAGTGCAAAAATAAACAGCCAGAACACATCAGTAGATCCAAAGTTCTTAAAACAAAGGGTTCTCATTTACACCTGCCTCCAAGCAGACAGAAACCAGAATGCGTGATTTGTACTGACAAAGCATCTGCTGCAGATACACAAACACGGTCACATCGGCTGTGTTTATCATCTTCTGAAGATCTATTTTCCTTTATGTGAATGTATAGCTCATACTAGCATTAATTTGAATTACATGTACATGCTGCCATGAAAATATTGTGTGTGTGTGTGAGTGAGAGAGAGAGAGAGAGAGAGAACGAATCGCATTTTGGGAGGGAAAGGGATTTTCAGCATTTGAGCTTCAAAACACAACTTGCACACACACACAAAACAGAATAACCTACAAGTGACCGAAAAATTCACTACTGAGTGCAATGTGTTTAGCAAGCAGGTGGAAAAGAGGAAATATTGATGCAGCAAAGACCTGCATATTCTTTGGTCTCAAGAAATTAAACACAAAGGCGTTAGATATAAATGCCAGACATGCAACTGATGTAGCATGCAAAAAGCTCTGCATGAATTGATTTGTTCTGGGTTCCTTTCTGCCTATGCATTCCTCCTCCCTCCCCCCCAAGAAAAACAGCTTTTAAATCAAGATGAAAACAATCTGGCAAGAAGATTTTTGGCCCTTGATTTTTATACTTTGGTAGGAAAGTTTCACCAATCGTAAGCCAGTACATGGACTTTAAAGAGTGCTTACCACTTAAAAACATGAGGAATTTGATTTTCAAGAGCAAGAAAAAATTGCAAGAAAAATTCTCACCCCTTGCCTCTGCCTTCCAAGAAATTTTTCCACTTTGAATTTTCCAGTGTGTGTGTGTGTGTGTGTGTGTGTAGAGAACTAAGAATAAACTTGAAAACAAGTTAAAAATAATTGAATAAAACAGTTTGGTTCTGTGAATCATTCAAAAGTCCATGGCCCTTAGTTTCACTTCTAGAGCAAATACCCTGATTAAAAAAAAAATATCCAAACCCAAGATAATTTGAATCTATAATCTCTTTTCTAGTATCTTTCACCTCATTTCTGACTTTTGTGAACTTT